CCAGTATAAAGTAGCTGTTTCCCCTGGTGATGCTGAGCTAGATAAGCATCACATCAAAGCCTCATGAGCCATGACATAAGAATGCTTATGAAACTCTCACACACACACACACACACACACACACACACACACACACACCACATCACAGCTGCTTCTGAATGAAACAAGAGACACAGTGAAATTACTGGAACCTCACGGATTCTCGGTCAGCGGATCGAGCCTGAAATTCTCTCCTGAACGATTGCTTCAATTCGTGTCTGTCTCTGAAGTTTACTGTCCAACGAAGGCAAACACCTACTTTGCTTCTCTACCAGTTGAGAAAATTCTCCAAGCTCCTTCACATTTGTTGAAGTTACTTTCCATCTTTGTGCTGAGCACAGAGATGGAGTCGAGGGGAGAGGCTGTATCCTGTGCTGAAGTGTGGACTGTGTACATGAAAGGCAGGTCTGCTGTTACAAGGTGAAACCAGAGGCAGGATGTACACTACAGTGTTCCCTGCTCAGTTTAGAGTCATTATCAGGCAGCTGAACTGCAGTGAACCGAACCCCAGCAGCTGTTAAACAGCCGACAAGCTTCCTACTGCAAAGCTGTTTGTTTGCTTGTTCTGCCTTTTAGGAAAAGATGCACTCTGTATCATTTCATGCCAACCACACAAACCCGCTAATGCAGGCATACACAATAAATGCATGCAATCGCTCACACGCATGCCCTCACACACACGCTGCACAGATGGCCAAGAGATGGACACACGCAAACACACACAGGAAACAAATGTGGGATTGGGACATGGCCGGATTTACCACCAGGACTTCCTGAGTGGACACCCAGTGGGTCCTGGCACATGCCAGGTTTAAAAATATACTGAGAGCGTAGCTTCTGACAGGTGAGGGTACAACTCGGCAGCACAGACCGCCCCATAATGTACATTCTAGTTGCTTATTACAATTTTTTGAACATAGCTATGATTGATTTATTGATTAATATGCTTTACAAAAAAACAAAACAAACACAGGTGTTAAATAGGCACATTTTACACACAGGGTAGTTTTTTCCTGCACACCAGCGTCAGTTACACTGGACACTGTAACAAACAGTGGGACACTAAGCAGAGCTGCAAAGTCCATCACCTGTAATTACTGTTGGGCTGCAAATAATGATTATTTTCCATATCAATAACATGTAAATTTTAAATTCTTGTTAAATTTATCTACTTGTGAAGACAGTTGTGCCTTACTTGGAAAAGTAAGAAAAATATTTCTTAAAATACAGTGAAACTTAAAACGATTGCTACCCCTGTTTCACCTTTTCTGTGATGGAACTTGTCTGTCTGTTAAAGGCCTGTAAAAGCAAACACCCTGACTGATCTTTTGTTATTTTAAAATGTCTTCCTTTTTTCTTAAGATTCTGGAAGAGTCTTTGCATAGAAAGCAGCCAGTGACTGCATTTCACACCCTGAAATCTTTCTGGCCTCTTTAATTTTGTGCCTTGGCTTTGTGTTCGAACGTTTGATCCGAGCTCTGTGCACAACATTGTGTTCATGTATTTTTGTGGATCATTTTTATTGGGAACAAATTATTTCTTTTTACTGGAAATGAGGTGATTTGTTATGGGTTCACTTTTTGCCGAGACCCCCGTTAACCCACTAACTGTTTGCACACCCAACACTTGCGTGCACACAGACACAAATGGACACACATATTTCTTCACTTTTAAAAAATGCAGTCAGGTTCATAAACATAAAAACTGGCACTCTTTCACAGACATACTCTTAGACACCCAGAGAAATGTACTGTGAGGACCCCCCACTGTGCCCCAACTAGAAAAATAAAACCATTGAGTAATTTCATATGTCTTGCCCTCTTAGTCTGCAGATTTTACAAAAGGTGTCAAATAGCATGCATTACTTTATTTTCCTGCTGCAAGCGCCAGTGAGCATTTAGTACTGTCACAGTAAAAAAAGGTTTCATGACTGAATGACCCACAAAATCTCATATCTGGTGGTTAAAGCTGTTTGACTATATGGCTGTTTTTTAGTCACAGTCACACCGTGACTTCAGGAGATTATGATTTTGGTTAATGCTCAGGCCAACAATTTGGTCCACAGTGAGATTCCTACGACTGCAGCCACAAAATTCGGTAGAGTTTTTGTAACTTTATGGTCCCCAGAGGTTAAGCCTTAATGAATCTGGTGATTAACAATATTCAAATTTTCAAAGTGTTTGACTTTATCCACTTGAATCATACACGCATGAGGACTTAATTTTTTTATTAAGATGTTTATTTTGTTGAGGAAAAAAGACTTTTACTTAATTTTACTCATGCATATTTGTTGAGAAAGATTTTATCATAATTGTTTTGAATGTTGAATGTTGTGAAGTGATCCACTGTGTGGCCTCAAGTGTTGACCATAAAGAAAAGTTTAAACCACAATTAACCATCAGGTTTCTTCAACTTTCACACACACAAAAATCTGCCAGTGACCTCCACTGGCTCCCCGTGGCCTCTCGAATCAAATACAAGTCACTAATGCTGCATACGGAGTGACTACTGGCTCTGCCATCCCTTCACACAAAGCAATCTCAGTCCCGGCTGTTCTCATCTGTGACACCACGATGGTGGAACGAGCTACCACACGCCATCAGAGCAGTGGCGTCCCTCTCTAACTTCAAGAAGCTCCTGAAAACTCATCTCCGAGAACACGGTCTCTTACAACACCTCTAACTCCCAACTTCTAACATGCACTTTCCGTGCTCTTCTTCTTCTAGCTCCTTACAAATGTCCTATATTCACTGCACTTTCTGTTAACTCTTACTCCTCTCCCCTGATTTCCAATCTAGCAACATCATCAGGTCAAAAATCTGCCCAAATACCTGCCTCACTAATGACTGTCAGCTTTAACTGTTTGGTGCTAATTAGCCAATGATTATAAGTTGCTGGTTGTTTGAAGATGTCTCAAGGAGCATTAATACAATGTAGGGCTGCAGCTAACGATGATTTTAGTACTTGAAGCTTTGGCTGGCCTTCAACTCAACAATCAATCATGATTTCAGTTAAATGCTAAAATTGCTATTACCTTGTCTGTGGTCCGCTGGCAGAACACCGGCTGCTTTCTGATCAGGTGCCGACTGTGACATTACAGAGTTGTTGTTTTCTTTTAGCTTGAAATAATCCCATACTTTGGACGCTTTCTTCTTCGTCCCTCGCCATTTTCTCTCTCTTCCTCCACTTTGCAAACAGCGCCATTATAATCACGTCGTGTTCACACAGCGTAAGCATGTCCACCATAACATCAAACTACAAACTGGCTCCTTAACCATCACTCCAACCAGTGTGGTGAGAAACTTGGGTGTCATGATTGATGACCAGCTGTCGTGCCACTTTGGTCTATAAAACATAAGGAAAATCCGGCTCTACCTCTCTCAGTACGCCACCCAGCTTCTGGTACAGGCCATGGTTATCTCTCGCATCGACTATTGCAATGCACTCCTAGCAGGTCTTCCAGCTTGTGCAGTGAAACCCTTACAAATGGTTCAGAACGCAGCAGCACGTCTGGTTTTTGATCAGCCCAAAAGGACTCATGTCACTCCATTACTCAGTGACCTCCACTGGCTCCCCGGGGCCTCCAGAATCAAATTCAAATCACTGATGCTGCATACAGAGTGACTACTGGGTCTGCACCATCTACCTAAACTACATAATACAAACTTACGCTCCTCCAACGAACGCCGCCTGGCTCTGCCATCCCTTCACACAAAGCAATCTCAGTCCCGGCTGTTCTCATCTGAGACACCACGATGGTGGAACGAGCTACCACACGCCATCAGAGCAGGGGCGTCCCTCTCTAACTTCAAGAAGCTCTTGAAAACTCATCTCTTCCGAGAACACTTCCTCTTTTAACATCTCTCTCCTAACCTCTAACATACACTTGTGCTCTTCTTCTTCTTCTATCCCCTACAATTATCTTGTTTTGATTGCACTTTTTGTTAACTTTTACTTCCTTCCCAAGGTATCTACCCCATTGATGTGATATGTACTGTGAGCACTTACTAGTACTTATTGCTGCTCTTTCTTGTATGTATTGTCAGTTGTAGATCTGTAGTTGATGCTCTGTTGATGCTTGTATGTTGTTCCTCAAATGTAAGTCGCTTTGGATAAAAGCGTCTGCCAAATGACTAAATGTAAATGTAAGCGCGATGTGCAACAGTAATAAATGTCCCTGCGAAACAGTGCGCTGTATAGTTATATGGATTAAACGAAGCCTCGATGCAAAGACTTTACATCGATGCATTTTAGTCATCAATTTAATCGATGAATTGTTTTAGCCCTAATGTAATGCCTAAATGGTTAAAAAGCAATGTGGCCATAATGTGGTCACGGTGATAAGTAATGTTTGTGATCATGTTTCACACTATAGTGTTCCTCTAATTAAACCAAGTTAGTGTACCGGGCCTCCTTTTATTAATCCATTCACCATCTTTTTAGCTACAGTGTGTACTGAGAAAGTGGGGCCAGTTCAAATGACAGGTATAGTTAAAGGCAAAGAACACCCTTCCACCACACTGTCACCTACGCGCTATTCATACAATAAACATTAACACCACCAGGATGGAAAAATTGCATTGGAATGACAGCAATCTCCCATTTCCATTGTCCCAGATCTGTTTGTGGGTACATAAGAAATACGACCCATTTATCACAAAATGATAACACCTGCGAGCCTTTTCTCTATACCAAGCACAGGCAGTCAATAGATTTCCATGTTTGAAACCTGAGTTAGGTGTTTTGCTCTGGATAATGAATGGAGTTTGGTTTCAAAGTAGTTATTAAAGTGGGAGAGGCAGAGGTTTATGAGTTAAGGTCTCTAAGGAGTTTCAAGGTGCGAAGAAGGGATTTTTTTGTCAAGTCTTTCAAAAACAGGGTTATTGCATATTCTCATGCATATTCACATTTACCTGCACAGACACACATTCAGAAATAAAAAACACTCACCTGTCTGCATGATACCATGTGGTGCTGAAGGGAGGTGTTAATCTTTAGTTTTTGCAGTGACAACTGGGCTAGGTCATTCCAGTAGGTGACTTGGGAGAGCTCACACACATTCCTGCAACTGGTTCAGCATTTATTTTGACAAAAAGGTAGGAATTGATCTGTGAAATCTGCTGTTTCTGTTACACTTATTTTAATTATTTTAATCAGATATCTCAATGTCAGACTTTTCAATGTCAAATCTGGAGATGACCTAAAAGGGTATGTGAATTTTTTATTTTTTTTTTCCACTTTTTACTGGAAAATATTAATTGCATGTTCTTAAATAGACATAAAAGTACTACGCTGGCTAATGAATGATAAACTTCATTTGCCAAAAATTCTGAGTAAGCAAGTAAATGTTGTGCACAGCAGAACAATCAGTAATCTGAGCTGCAGTATTAAAAGCAGTAATACAATGCCTGAATGGTTAAATTGCAAAACAAGATGTGACCAAGGTGATAACTAATGTTTGTGATCGTGTTTCACAATGAAATTTGAGCAGAAAACAGGTCATGAGATGATGTGGCATGTATTACAAACAAACACTGGCACAAACACATTTGTAAAATTATGAGTAAATAATTTATATGAATTCGAAATTTGTTAGACATAATTAGATTTTTTTAAAAAGAAGTGTTGTCTAAAGAAGAATAATATGTGACTGTGTGAGGCGGCATCGCTGCTGACACAACAAGCTTGACTGTTTCATAAATATGAGACTATTGATCGAATCATGCAAGGCTGGTAACTGAAGGACATGTCAGTCTTAAAAAGAAATCATTTAGTAGCAGTCACTAAGGAAAGTCAAAACTGACTGCTGACCTGACACAGGTATACACCAACAAATTACTCTTTTAAATTCAGCAGCACAGGTCATAAACCCTGTTCAGACACAGGAATAAACACTGAATCCATGATAGAAATCTACAACTCACAGGTTAAAATCCTGCATCTCTTTTCATGTGCATCCTCTTTAAAATCAAGGTTAAGCTATTTCTGATGAAGCAAAACAAAACCAAACATGTGCTCTGGTCCACTTGGCACTTTGAAGCTTGGATAAACCATTAACCTTCAGGAACAGACGGCTAAAATTTGACAACTCCTGACTTGATTATGTAAAAAACGTCTTAGGAAGTCTCAGCCCCCCTGGCCTTTACACGGCATTTTAAACAAACTGCTAAACATGAGGAGAAATTCCAGTGAAGATCAATGTCAACAGATTTGACACTTGTTTTTAGAAAAATTCCTGAAACGGGTGGCGTGATCTCTACCCGGCTGCCAAACAGTCTGGTCACGGTTCATTTGACAAGCTAGTGAGAAGCTTCTGTAAGTAACTTGTTAAGATGGAACTATATTGCAGTGTTGAGGTTTTGAAGGTCATTAGAGGTGGCAGAAAGCCCCGGGGCAGAGCTAGGAGTAGCCACCCGTGTACACTGTTCTGTTCCAGTGAACCACAGATGGGTGGCACAATGTCATTTGCAGTAAGTGAGCATGTAATGGAGTTGTAAGTGCCCTGAGCAGGAGAGGAAACAAGCCAATTGCCCAAGTTGTTTCCAGAGTTCAGCCCTCGATTCCTATTGTCAGCAGTGGATGACGGGCCTGTATTCTAACTTTAGAATACAAAAGGACAGTCTTAGATATTGTTATTGTGAAAAACAATGATTCAAACCTCAAAAAGATGAAGTTTCATAGCTGTGTTCAAGGAAAGTGCAGTGGAAACTTTATGCCAAAGGTCAGGATGTGTTTTGGTTGTAAGTGGTTGTTCTGTGTGAACTTGTTTTGTACACAGAGCTGCATGTTTCAGGTTGTGGGCAGACAAAATGTGGAGAAAACAGCTCAACCTAGTGGGTCAACACAACACGGGGAACTGTTCAGTGGGTAAAAACCACATGATACACTAAAAATGCAAATAACTTAGCAGTAGCAGAACTTTTTAATGTTCGGGATATTTTGCATTTAGCATGACTGTCCATTTCCTTGAAAAATAAAATAATCCAATATATTACAGTAGTATACAGTGTATTAAGTAAACTAGTGTGTGGTGGAAATTCCTCCTCAGAATCTTGAAACATTTAAAAAACATTCAGGGTTGATTAAAAAGTCTTTTCATGGCCCGATACTCCAGATGCTATTAAAGCCAAAATCGCTCTGACAACAGTTACATCACGTTAAAAAATGCAGAATTAATATTGGATTAATTGTGTATTTTGAAGTTTAGTTAGGTAACCACATGAAACAAGATGAGGGTATCCTAATTTAACTTGTATGCCTGTGTTAAGATACTTAAAGGTTTCAGACTTTATTTATTTCAGTTTTGTCTGAGTGTCTCCATGAATTGGCTGAGCATTCATCTTCATTATACCTCATTAGTCCTGACTCTACAATGCAGGAAGATAACATTTCAGCCCTTAGCACAGAAGAACTACTGGATGAACAGTAGCTCCACAACTGATTTATGAGATATGATCAACTTTATAAATATTTATACATAATTTTGCATTTTATTATTATAGTGCAAGTAAAATATATCAATACACAATTTAATGATCTACTAAATCATGGTTTTATATATTTCTCTCTTCATATTTCATGTATTAGGCCTATAAGCAATTAGTAAATAGTAGGGCTGCAACGTTTATTTTCATTATGAACTAATCTCCTCAATATCTTTCAATAATTTCGTTATGTTAATCGGAAGGTCGGCGGTTCAATCCCCGTCTCCCCCTGGTTGCGTGTCGAAGTGTCCTTGGGCAAGATACTGAACCCCGAATTGCCCCTGGCGGCTGTTTCGCCAGTGTATGAGTGAGTGTGAATGTTACTTTCCGTTTGAGCACTTAAGCTTAGTGTATGAATGTGTATGACTGGTGAATGCAGATGTAGTGTAAAAGCGCTTTGAGTGGTCGAAAAGACTAGAAAGGCGCTATACAAGTACGGAGCATTTACATTTAAACCAACAGTTTCATTTATGAAAGAAAAGCAGCAAATCCTCGCAGCTAAGAAACTTGGTAAAATGTCTGTACAAAAGTTCACTGCTCATCCAAAAATTGAGAGTGGAGATATTTAATTCTAAACCACAAATGTCAGCATCCTTGTGATGCCAGAGGAAAAGTCTGGAAATGACCAAAGTCATTAGGATTCATCATCTGAGGGCCACAAACGTCTGTGCAAATTTAATGGCAGTCCATCCAGTAGATATTCCAGTTTGACCGGCACCAAAGTGGAGCCAACAATGACTTAAACGACAGACTGATAATGAAAAATGCAGCAAAATCATTTTCTGACAATTAACTAATCTTTGCAGCTCTGGTACTTAAATAAATGAGACACAACCATTTAAAGTTGTAAAATCAGAGAAAAGCAGCAAGAAAGTAACAAGTTTAATCAAACAGCAGCTTTTTAAACACCTGTATAGTGCTACTGAGGAAGTACAGATAACTGCTGCACTTTTTATTCTCCTAAAAATGACAGAGGTTTGTGTTTAGACTGATAACCTATGAATGAAACAGTGTCTCTTGGTTTTTCAGTAGGATGCTGCGTTTTTCTCCTTTCGTCCATATCAGGGTACTTAGGGAAGGATTATGGGAAGCTAATAGGACGTTATTTCTATGACCTCATAGAGTGAGCTCCATAGTCTGGCAATGGGTTCGTTCGCTGTAGCCAGGAGAAAGTGGAGTCTGTGACTGGAGCCCAGTTCTCTCAGTCAGATAGCGGTGATTCAAACCCCATTTGTTTTGGGCGTAGAGGATGCTCTCAGTGGTTTGGCTGTGATTGATCCTTCCTCTGCCCGTGATCGCACCATGACATTATTCCAGTTTCCACATTCATTTTTCCCCTGTTAACTTAGACCAGTTCACTCCTGTGGCGCTTCCTTTATTGGCCCTCTGACAGTTTTTGACCTCCACCCAGAGAAAAAAAAAAAAAAAAGGTCTTGGGCCATTGCTTTGGACAACAGCAAACCTTTGCATGGAAACATTGTTGTATGTTTACAGAGAGTTTAACGTTACTGGGGCAAAAGACATCCTACTGCGGCACAACAACAGACCCCTGTCACTAAACACATTTTCTTTTATCAGAATTAAATTGCAAAATGTCTTCAGTATCTGTACCATTTGATGCTTTTACAGAATTTTACCTGTTTTAATCAGCTAAGGCTTAATTTAATATGCTTATTACACTGTGGCCTCTGAACAAATTTGGTAAAATCCATCAGCAGAGATGCATTAAAAACTGCTAGTGATCTGTGGAGTACAGGTACGAGTTGCACCTTAGGTGGCACATCAGAACCAGGAAGAGAAATATCAGCCCAAGCAAGGACGGTTGCAGTGGGTTTTGTTTCTCCAGGCAACTGCCCCATAATGATTAAATGTATTGACATAGTACAAAGAGGCAGGAAAAAGAAAATGGTAAACATTCCCAGATTGCTTTCTTAAAAATAGACCTCCAAAGCAAAAAATATAAATGGTAGACAAAATATGAAAGAAAACATGTGAATGAAATTATAAGTATAACCCATAACAGAAAAGAGAAACGAAATAAAAGCCAGCAACAAAATACTCTGTTTTCCCCGTCAGTGATTTTTTTCTTACTGTTCTTGCTGTCAACAAAGTGCTGCTCATTATGTATTTATATTAGATGATACAGGAAGCAGAGCAAGAGGTTGGAGATTTCCAGTGATCAGCCAATGTTTTTGATACATGGAAGACTCTGCTGTTAATTGTTTCCTCCAACAATAGCGGCCGGGGGAAAAAAAGAGTCGGAAAATTGGCAAGACCGGTTAAGGTGAATGGCTGTTTTCTGTATCAGAGCAACGGGGAAAGTCCTTTGGGAGTATCTTGAATGATCTATGTAGAAGTTGCAGCATCAAAACATTATGCAGTACTGTATTTATATTTTCAAATATAATAAAGATTTGCATCTATTCTACTGCTTGTTTTAGCCACAGATTTCTTTTCCAGCTGTGGAAACACGTGCACTCAATAGAATCAGGAGTGGAGTCAATGAAAAAGAGCTGTAACACACATACTGGCTGTGGTCCATACATGTCCTATTCTGTGACTTAATTTTGCCCTTAACCCTTAAAAGAGGGTTATGGAAAAATAAATTAATAGGTATTTCTACAATACTCATTTTAATTGGTACAGAAGCTCATATAGGCACAATAAAATTAGGATTTCTGTGTCAGATTTGTGTTGCACATGAACTCCTACATCCTCAGTGGGTCAGAGATCAGACAGCTTTCAATAGCTGTTTGGTCTCGTTTGCACAGTTGCCCGTCTACTCCTGCTGTCATGACCTGCATTACTCTAATGACCTTCTCTCGATGTTTTGGGTCAGTGGAACCACAAAACAACAAAGCTCTCCAAATTGACACATGTTAGACAGTTACAGATTGGGGACTCGGTCAGGGATCGGTTTACACCTAAAACCTAAGTTTGGGCACCATGTCGGGCCTTCCAGACATAAATCTCTGAAATAGACAACAATACCAAATAAAACAATGCTCTTGGGCATATGTCCTTTTAATATCAAACTATAGGGTGAGGTAATTTTTTTGTCGTTAGTTAAAGCAATACACCATGTGTATTTGAAAGCTTTCCAACTATAGCGCCCCCCAGCAGTAGTATGATAAAATACCATGTGGCAGACACCAATGCTGTCTATGAGCACATAAAATCCTACATAGTGGCTTTAACTTAAACCTGGTATTTGCTAGGGATGCACCGAATGTTCAGCCACCAAAATTAAAATCGGGCAAAAATATTGTGAGAAAAATTTGTGAGAAGGCGATTAAGCTAGCCACACCTAAATTTGGAGTGCACACGTATTCAAGTCTTTATTGTAACTGAAACAGCCCAAAGCGAGCTGACAGCCAGGTTAGCGACTTTATCCTCTCAGTTTCTCTGACAAGTGTTGCAGTATGAGAGTCCTACCGTAAGAGAGGCTGTGAATGCTTCATGTTACGTGATACGAGAACCACATACAACATTGTTTATCAAATTGGGTCGGACTTGATGAATTTAACGCGAGGATACAACAACAACATCTGTAATTTACTTTACTGGACCCTCTTGGGCCTCGGACACACTAACCATAGCCTCTTCAAATCCTGTGGGAAACACTGAGGAAAAAGAACATTTTGATTAATTTATGCAAAACGCTAAAAAATAGAAAGAATGTGTACTTGTTCAGTGTTCGGCAAATTTTTCATTATATTCCGTTTCGGCTTCTGCAAAGAATTTGCATTTCGGTGAACCAAACCGAACAAAATTGTTAAACACTCTTTGCTATCTTCCCTACAGACTCTGAAAGATGCATAAACAATATTCATCGGTGAGCCCCACCGAAGACTGTGTGAAGACTCAGAATGGACCAAAGAAATACCGCTACATACGCAAAGAAGGCAGCTGTAACGTCGTGTTCCGCCATGTTCCAGAGGAGTGGCTGCTGTTTGTGACAGACATCTTCACCACATTGGTGGAGATCAGATGGAGGGTGATGTTCCTCATCTTTGCCCTGTCTTACATCCTGTCCTGGCTCTTCTTCGGCATCCTCTACTGGGTCATCGCTCTGGCTCATGGTGACATGAAAAAACACACAAATGACATCTGTGTGTACGAGGTGCGCAGCTTCACAGCTGCTTTCCTCTTCTCGCTTGAAACTCAAACAACCATTGGCTACGGTTTCAGAGGAATGTCTGAGAACTGCATGACAGCCATTATCGTCGTCACTGTACAAGATGTCATCAGCTGCTTCATCGACACATTTGTCATCGGAATTGTTGTCGCCAAAATGGCCTCGGCCCGAAAGAGGGCGCAGACGGTGGGTTTCAGCAACTGCGCCGTCATCAATCTTCGTGACGGCTACTTGTGTCTTTCCTGGAGAGTCGGGGACTTCCGCAGAAACCACCTGGTGGAGGGGACGGCTCATGCACACATTGTCCGCTCCGTGGCGCATGCCACAGGGAATACAGACGTGATCTTTGAAGATCTGGTCATCCAGCAGAGGGACATCGTCCTCGTCACACCTACCACCATCGTCCACAGGATAGAGCCCAGCAGCCCACTGTACAAGATGAGCTTGGTAGATCTGCGGAAAGCAGACTTTGAGCTTGTGGTGTCTTTTACCTACACGGACGACTCCACAGGTATGCTGCATCAGACCCGAACCTCGTACACTCCAAATGAAATCCTCTGGGGTCAGCTGTTCCAGGAGATGATCAGAGTCAGCAGGAGGCACTACAGGGTGGATTACATCTTGTTCAATCACACCACTAAGGTGCATGTACCTGAGGTCAGCACCGAGGAGTACGAACACAAGAAGCAGCTGCGGCCGTGTCCACAACATTCACCTAGATCTTACCCACTCCCCTCTGCAGGGTCACAGCAGCAAAATCATCAGGAAAATCTTCTGAAACCCCCAATGGTAACTGTGGAACTTGTGAATGACACTCACCCTGAACCAACTTGTTCAACATCTCAAGCAGACAATCAACATCAAGACACTCCGACTCTGCCAAATGACCTTACCAGTCAAGATATATAAAAGTATCAAAGAAACCACTGCTAAAAATGAATACTGGATGCTACAGAATCTCATTCACAAATATTCTACCGTCATAGTTTATCAACATTAAGAGTCTACAGCCACACTAGTAGCACTGTGAGGCTGTACTTAGGAAAAGCAGTGCTTTGAACTACATGCTGACGTCAGCATGCTAACATGGTCACAGTGACAACGGTTATATTCTGATGTACAGCATCACAACCACAAAAGGAATTCAGACTGATGAATGAACGGGCACTAGTGGTGTAACAGATGGTAGTTGATCCGTGTTCAGCACGGGCGAGAGACTAATTTAAAAGCAGCTGATTTGAAACCCTGTTGGCTGTGACTTTGGGCATTTTCAGTGATGTAACTGGGACACAGGGCATAGTTGTCACCATAGAAATAAATCATAAGATTGTGATGTTTATTGCCGCTTCATTAATTAGAGCCTTTATAAATTTATTTAACCTAACTTTTTTTTTCTGATTTGAAAAATGATCCGATCCGTGACTCAAAATGACTTTTCAATCCAATCCGTAAGTTTTGTGATCCGTTGCAACCCCCAGGGAGGGCAAACTTACAAACTTATGTGAGGATATGAGAGATGATCCCAGCAGCTGTGCTCTTCGAGCATTGACACTACAAGACAGCCACCTCTTCAGCCTACAGGCAGGTTTGATACACAAAAAATAAATAGTTGGTGAGAGTGTCACTTTAAACATTTAAATACAATAACAAAGAATACAAAACCTATAACGTACAGAGAGAAGTATAGTTTTAATAAATTAGGTCTCTATAGGATGAGGACACCAAGGATGATAAGTAGGGTCAGTGGTTCTAATGCAATCCAATGTACTTTTTGGCCAATTCAGCGAATCTCTATTGCATTCTGCCATATTGCCCAGTTGGTAGTGTCTGTATGTACCCAATCCGTACTGCCTGCCGGATCCCTTTCTGCACATGATCAAAAGTGGTCCTGTCCATCAAAGAAGGTTACCACAATTGTGTCTGTTCATAATTACTCATGTGTTGTTGTCTGTTGTCATCTCAGGCCATCAAATACTGATGCTTTCAAGGCTGAGAAAGCGTTAATTGATGCAAAAGGTACCCTTCAACGTCCGTATGAGACGCCCCCGGGCATTTTGTTATTGATATTTAGTTGGATCATTTTGAATAGACAGATTTGCGATAACCTTCTTTGACCACTTTGTGAACCACTTTTGCGCGTGTGCAGAATGGATCCGGCAGGCAGTATGGATTGGGCACCGACAGTGTCAACTTGGCACTGTGCATCAAGGAAGTTGAGGGGCGGAGCTTCTGAAGGAGCACTGAAGGGAGGGGTGTATTTGTTTGGCTGTCGAGTTGAACTATCAGAACTCTTCCTCCTCCAGAATCGCAGACCCCACCTTTAAAATGTTAAGAGAAATAGAAATTTGAATGTTTGTACTGACACTACTGGAACACTACTGGGCAATCAGCTGAGGAAGATCATGTGTACCGAATAGTCCTTGATATTATGTGAAAATAAAATACAATTAGACCACACTTTAGAATGTGCATGGCACTTATGTAAAAAGGTTTCATTTTATTCTTTATGTTAGATCACTTTGACACACTACTGGGACATATTTTTGATGCAAATATTAAGTCTACTGCTGATATAAATGAACAGAAATCATAGGGGGGACTACAAGTATTTCCCTAATATGAGTCAAACTTTATATAGAACAAATGTAAAATGTTAAGTTTTCTTTATTTTTGTGGTGGTGGAATCCCATTTGTGTAATAAGTAAAGATATTCATAACCAGTTCAAACTTTTCATATTGTCTTAGATTTTTGTAAATGACAAACTATATTTTACATCCTCAAATCTTTTATGAACATGAAGAATATGAGGATCTGTTGTAACAGACTAAACAAATGTATACTAATTTTGTTGAAACAGTGTCATCAAGCAGGATTCAATAAAGTGATGTTTAAATGTCTGGTTTGCATCTTCACTTCTTGTATTAATATGTATCTGTGAGATGTATCATGGTTCTTGTCCAAGAACAAAAGATCTGATCGGGAAAGTCACTTTGATGTCAAGTAACCAGACAGTCAAAAGTAACCAGATGCTGCTTTAAAAATGTGCTGCTTTGATTTGCATCACTGTGTAATCCTATTAAAAGCATGTCTTCTTTTTATCATCTATCCAAAATAGATCAATCCAAAGCTCATGATGTTATTCAGGCACCAGTCAGACATGAGAGATCATGACAGTTTTGATTTACTGTGATGCCTGTATTTCTATCTGAGCCATACAGACCACATAATGCTTCTTTCAACAGGGATGTGGGTAGTGAAACTGACCCTCGAACAACCACGACCTTCTGCTGGCACTACGCAAGAGGTTAACCGTGATACAGCAAGGTAAAAGGTGCCCGTTATGAGAATCTGAAATACCTAATTAATCCCCGAGGGGGAAATTCCTGAGTCACATTGCACATCAAAGTATAAAGGAATTGAAATAAAAGAAAGCTGGTAAATAAAATATAAAGAAATATATCAGGCCTGTAGGGGGAAAAAAACTATATTGCCCACACAGCAGAGCTGTTTAAGCCTTCTGGGGTGAAGTCAGGTCAGGACAAATGTGAAAGAAAAAGTTCCACTCCAGCAACAAGTGACAGCCCTGAATCCGGCTTGGCCAATTTAAAAGTGCAACACTGAAATCTGAGTCTTTATCTGACAAAAATACTACAATGGGGATGACATTTTCTGAATCAGAAAGGAAATAAATAAATATGTTTAGAGTAAGAGGCTGCAGCCAAAGCCAAACAAATAGTCCTAAGAAGTTTCCATATCAGCTAATCGCTTACTAAATTCACTCGCTATCCCACTGGTCAGTCCTTTTTTCAGCATCTAGTTACAGATTTTGCAGAAAGGCCAAGAGGCCTGATCCCCAGTAAATTGTAAAGTTTCTGAAATCCATGTGATATTGAAATGTCAGCCACCAAAAGAACACAAAAATCCGTGCCACAGATTTTCAGTCTATCGGGTAAATTATTATTAAATTTCACCTGGATGCCTTCATGCTAGCAATGACCAGCTTTTGGCCTCAGGCTTTATGTAGAAGCAGCTGACTTCACGTTTCGAAGCTTGTAGCAAAGCTTGTTTTGAGATGAATAGTTAAATATGAGGCTACAGCCAGCAGTGGGTTTGCTTAGCTTAGCACAAAGACTGAATACAGCTAGCCTTGTAAAATGACCCTACTTCTGATTTATTACCTCAGTAAACACTTTGCTAATGACTTTATGGTCTCAGTCACTAATTTCATGTCTTCTTTAATACAGCACAATGTTCATTTAATACATTATGGTCCCATTTAGAGGAAAATAGACAATAATGGCCTTTTCACAAGGGAAGCGACACGGCGCCTGCGTAGTCGCTTGGCCCCGCGGGGTCTCTCTGCGCCTCTCATGTGAACAGACAAGGAGACAAGCGCTCCGCGAGTAAACGGCAGGCGCACAGTGCATAGTAACCATGGCAACGGCTTCTGTGCGCTAAACAGCTGTAGCCTATTTAACTTAAGTTAAAATTATACATAACTTTACCGGACAGGCCTTCATCTAGTTTTGCGGGGAGGCTCTGCCGTGCGAATTCCCTCCTGTTGTTGTCCTATTTAGTAAACAGTAACAGATCCTGGAAACTCACGAACAGCGAGGATCAGTCTCTCGTTCAAGACAATTCAACTCTGGCAGGGGAATGTGCACGACTGCAACAGTTTCACGTGAACATGCCCACACACCCTTCCTACACGCTCGCCTCTCATTGAAAATGAATTACAAGAGGCGTAAATCGCTTCCCGTGTGAAAAGGCCTTAAATCAGTAGGCTTTAGGGCAGGAAAATCTGTGATTGACAAGTCGTTACCATGGTGACCGGTCAATCAGGTTAGAGTGACGTGTACCCACGGCACTGTGTAAATTTAACCAGCGCCGTTGAAAAAGCTTATTAGGAGTTGGCCGTTCACTTTCTCTGGCGAGTACATTTAGTTTTAAACCTGTTGTTCACTAGAAAAAATTTGCATCCCAGTTACAATGACGTGAATTACAGATGCACCTAGCTAACCAAGCTAGCTAGGTCCACACACGGCCGTTAGCTCCACCGTCACATCAAATTATGGTCACGTACGGTGTTACTGGTTGCAAAAAATCAACATGGTGGTGGCCTAACGTCACGATAACTACGTCCACTTGTTTTATACAGTCTATGATCTGAACACACTGTTAGCTCCTGTCACTTTAAGTCCTCCCGCCATAAAAACCCACTTTCTTCTGATTGGCCAACTTTATGGAAGCCTCCCAGGGGCAGCAACTAGCTGGCACAGCTGCTGATTCCTGTGGAGACCTTTTTCTATACAGTCTGTGGTGGAGATAGAGCTGGCTGTGTGAGACTAGGCCTCCCGGATTAATGTACAAATACACAACTTTATTCACTGATCTTGGTGAAACTGTATCAGATTTCATTGAAAAGTTATTTCCAGTGTTTCCCTCTGATGCTCCCTGTCTGCTCTGCCTCAAGTTTTGCTGATGGATAGACAGCTTTACTTGCGCCGTCTACTGCGAAGGGCTGGAGGGGGTCCTTTGCCATTTCCACACTTGACGTCAAGAATGGAGCCAAATTCAAAATGGCGTGTTTGCACAACCATTTACTGAAAGACTGAGCAGTAGGAAAAGAGAGTTTTTCCTCATAGTTTGAGGGTCTTCAGACACACCGGGGTCACACGTTTAGGTTGAAAAGAAGAAAAAGTAGATTTTGCTGAGTGCTACTGCTAAGTCCGACAAACTGTTGGACTCGTCAGATTTATCACGGCGCTGCCACGTGTCTATTACTGCACTCCCTGAAGAGATATTGTCTACTTTTTTGGAAAAATGAAAAAAGCTATCTCGGAAAGGAGACAGAAAGGTTTGCATTATACATTTGAAGGTGCTATTCAGGCTGTCCAACTGACGTGAAAAAAATAAAGACAGAAGATATAGCCCGCCGATACACAGAGTGAACCGAGGAAAAAAGACATCAATATTAAGGATTAACACTGTTCCTGTAAAGCTGGGTGGGTCACTATTACAATCATTAAATGGTAAAAGCTCCAGGGATGGATAACATTACATTCAGTAGTAAGTTAGCTAGTGTTAGCTAACTAACATCACATTAGGATCAATCCGCAGCCAACATTTTTCTGGATTTGTTTTAGGTTTTTGTACTTCTCCTTTCAACCTCTCTGGGTAGTGACTGTAATTATTACAAGTGCCCCAGGAACAGCGTTTGACCGTATCTTGGAAAAATACAGCAAAAGAAAGCAGGAAAACGACTCCTTTTGCATTAGAGTCAATGGAGCGCAGCCATGAAAGTGTCGGACCTGAGTTAGAGCGAGTCCTATGCTGCGCTGTGGTTGGGGGCGTGGTTTAGCGAAGGGTCAACTGGTCGTTTGGGTTGGAGGACTTGTCCGAAATAGACAATGCATAGGTTGAGACATGAGTTTAGAAAAAGAGAATACTAAAAAAATAACCGGGTGCTGAGATTGAACGAAGAAACATTTGTTATGGAGTTTTAGAATTATTTACTGTGTTTCATTTTTTTGTGTCATTTAATGTTTTCAACACTTCAGCTTAATGCTGTTGCTGCAGTGACATAAGTTGCATGAAAAGTTCACACTGAGTGCTCTCCTGCCCCCTCCGTCTTGTGCTGCTGTCTGCTACTTGCTCACATTACAGAGCTTTGTGTGTGGTAGGCAATCACTGGTTAATTCCAGTCTCCAGCTCTCCACCTTGTGGTCCACACGCAGCACTGGCTGCTGCATGCATCGCTGTCTTTATTGCTGGAAATTGGGCATGGAAAGCAAACACACACAACGTGCACAGTTCACTGACACAGGTGGTTTGGGCTAAATATATGTGCTGCTATAAATAACCAGAACTAAAAATAAGACTTACAGGGAAAAGACAAGCAGTTCAAAAGCCTTTTGGAAAGCATCTAGTTGTGGGTTAATGTTTATCATGAATTAGTAAGCAAGAAGAATGATTTAGTCAGTGGCTTTAAGACAACACGGTTACAGCCTGACCTAAAATTATGGGGCAACTGATGCATAGTCTAAACATCCGAAGCAACTTGATAGCTCAGTGGAGAAAGACAGTCATATCATAATACAGGCATGTAGGCCTTTATTGAGTGAGTCATTCTTTCCGACAGAACACATTTTCCATACCCACCTTAAAAAATAAAATCTATAAAAACAACGGATATCACAAAAATGCGGATGATGGACTGTTGGGCTACACACTGTTGCAGCAGGTGGTAACAAGACCAGATTTTACTGTTTTTTTGAAGATTTTAATGTCTCTGCAGAATTTAAGAAGAATTAAATTTTTTTTTTTATACTTTTGACTAAATGTTTTCTTCCCCATGTAATAAAGTTGTTGATCATCTGTTTTATTTATTATGGCAATTTGAACTTTTTGCAGAGCCGGACCACCTAAGTGTATACATCATGTAACCCGTGCCTTTGTTATAAATCTAGTACAGATTTAAGTCATAAGAAAAAAAAACGAGATTGATGCTTGTCTGATATTTTTGTTTTGTTGATATGTCAGCTTTTGAACCATCACTACCTATTTTTATTTAACCCCTTTGAGATTTTAGTGTCGTCGGTCAAATGCAATTGCTCTCCATTCGATGTCCTGTTCTGTACACATCAGTCGCATTGATTAAGAACACAAAATTACACAAAACAGAGTTTAATTGGCCTGTTTCACAGTGTGCGCTCCCCTCCTCTCTCCATTGGTCGGGCGCTGAGCGGGGGGGCGGTTCCGTCCCCGGTGCGTGTTGTTAAAAACGCTTTGGGGGAACTCATCGCGAGGCACATTATCGAGACCGGTCCTCCAGAGATGCGAGGGAAGTTACACTTGATCTTTTTAGGGCAAAACAAATAACAAGCGCGCGGAAACG